GACGAGAACGGAGAGAATAGACGAGTAGAGGAGAGAGAAATACAGTTAAGAGAGGGGAGAAGGAATAAAGGAGAGACAGGGAGGGAGCGAGGACAGTAGGGAGAGACAATCGACTGTCACACGGACGGAAAGGAACGTAACAATTGTAAGTCCCTTACTCTAATAAAGAAAAGAAAACAGAAAACGTGCGTAAAGATTATTAAAAAAAAGAGAAAGAGTGAGTGGGTGCGAACCAGCGCAAGGGGTGAGGTTGCGGTGCACGAGGTACTGGTGTTGTGTGTGTGTGTGTGTGTAGTTAGTTGTGAGTGTAGCCAGAGGGAGAAGAAAGAGACGTCTACAGACTCTCGTCTGTTCGACCTTCTCTGAGGTGGAGAGACGGCCGCGAGCAGGTGGACGGTCTGTACCTCGACCATTCCTGTGAATAAGAACACAAGCACCGCTCGTTTACACATAGAGCCCTCTCACCAGTCCATGCTTTACACTTCAACTTCCATATATTTCCTTCTTACCCTACTCGAGAGGATATTCGTGAAACACAGCCGCGTGACAATTGTAAGTAGTAAGGAAGACAGTCAGGACGGACTTCAACACGTCGACTTCTAAGCAGTTACCGTTAACTTGGACTGAGGCCTTGGTTCCCAGGTTAATTTTACTTATATCTATTTTTTGTACAAACAAAGTAACACACGTTATGCATTCCTAAGAACACCTACAAAAACGCATCCCTTGTACCGGAGACAAAAGACAACTGGCAGGAGCTTGTCTACTTTAGAGAAAAAGAACCTACACCTGTCATAACGAGGTATCACACACTATAACCACAACAACACACACCAACACACCACACACACACACCACACCACACACCACACAACCACACCCACCACACCACCCACAACACACACACCACCACACACACCACACCAAATTAGGAGACAAAAGTGTCGAAACTAGTCTCTTGTCATAACGACGAGGACATTCCCGAGATTACCCTTTACGGGGAGCCTCTTCCGCACACATCACCATCAGCCTACGTAAAAGGGTGTACTAACGCCGTAAATTGTTTCACGTTGGGGGTTTCATGTGCGAGACGAAGTTCGGGTCGTCATCTATTTGTTGTGGTTAGAATCTTTTGTTGTTAGTAATATGACATACTCCAGAGGTGGCCTTTGTGATGCTACATCCGATCCGATAAACGAGATAACGGTTAATCCATTGTGCCCCTTAGACTTTACTCGTTAACATGGTTAGAGCACACAATTAAGGGTTTGTCCACTGCCCACGTTGTCAGCTGGTCTTTAAGACGCTGCCGTTCTGACAGCTACGTGCATGGATTGATGCCTTTGTAGCTGAGGAGGGGGTTCACTTCGCAACTACACATTTTAGATGCCACCAGGGAGTAGTAGGCAAGACAGACACTTTAGGGGTACAGAGGAGGTAAAACATGACGGTGGTCTGAGAGGATAGCAGCATCTATCACTGTAGGCTCTCAGGTCATAGATTTTGGTAAAAATAAGTGCTTTATTCTTTTTCACTTGACAATCTCTGTTCAACAGACATGTGTTTTAACATGTCTGTTGATTGGCTTGCTGGGAAAGCCCCATTAAATTAGGCTCCCATGAGGAATAGAAATACTTATTGTAGGATTCATATAAATAGCTTTTATCAGGAATATACAGATTTGTCTTGCATTTCTACTAATATAACATTAATATTTGCCTTATTAATAGGTCATATTTATCTCAGGAACATAGAATAGATAGAGAATAGAATCGGAGGGATGAAACCCTTTTTAATTGTCACACATGCAGAGCACACAGCACACACAGTGACATTTGTTCTCTGCTTTTAACCCATCCTAGTACCGGGAGTTTAGTACTGGGAGCAGTGGGCAGCTATTGTACAGCGCCCTGGGAGCAATGGGAGTGAGGGGGGAAGGGGGATGTCCGGTGCCTTGCTCAAGGGCACCACAGCAGGGCAGGAGGTGAACTGGGACCTCTCCAAGTAGCAGGCCACACTCCATTCAAGTCGGGGACTTGAACCGGCAACCCTACGGCTCACAGTCCAAGCCCCTACCGAATGAGCCACTGCCGGACAAATAAATGGTATGTAATATTCATAAGAATACAAACATTTTTCTCTATAAGAATACAAACATTGTGTTTGTATTGGTGATATATGAATGTTTGACTTAAAAGGAACTGATTAGAATAAAAACATTTATTATTTGTTTTAATAAAAATGAGAAGAGCTTGCCCACAATGTATCTGCACTGCACACGCCACACAATAAATAATTTACTATGAGTGTATTGACTGCAGTCTGCATCCACTGTTGTCGCCAGCCCACCTGAGGAGATTTCTCTGTGGGATCTCTGGCAGAGTCCCTGGAGGTAGAGAGGACAGATGAGGCCATGCAGGTAAACCTCCTAAATTGGAAAACGAGCTCTGTGTGTATGGGCTTTGTTTTATTTTTTCACAACAGCAACCCTGACAAATAAAACGCCTCCTCTGAGTTCCATATAGTCTTTTGAGTCCTGTCCGTTCGGATTTTAGTAGAATATTTCCTTTCTTTGCCTTCAGTCAGAATTGCTACGACAATAAACTCCCCATGTTTTTGATCATTCCTGTTTCCTACAGCTTTAAATGGAAAATGCTCACTACTTTATAGAGGTAGTTTCCCTCCGTTTTAACCCCAAGCTGAGTTTCCTGATGCTGCAGTTTCTAATTCCATCGATGTAGCAACTCTTTCAATCCTGTTCTTCAGATTCTATTAGCACCTCCAGTCAGACCTGCCCTTTTATTTCCTCTGCTTCCATCCATCTAGCTAACAAGCATGGTTTCTCCTAAGCTGTGATTCCCGTCAGTTCGAAGCAATCTCCTCTCCGCTGCTTTCCCCAAATCATTGTATTTCTTTTTCACCTAACCTCACTCTCCACTTTATCTTTTCCATTTCAGCTCCCCTATTTTTTATTTATCCCTCACTCGCATCCGCTTTCCCTTTTCTCTCCTTCTGCTCTGGTTACAATACTCCTCCATCATTGGTTTCACTCTTTTCGTGTGAATTCCTAGAGCGGGCGACTGGTTGTTGTAGTATAAATCATTCTCTGTACATGCCAACACTGCCAATTACTTAAGAGCAATGAACTGCTCACAGTGTCGTGTGTCTGTGCATACGCTTGTATAGATAGGCTAGCTAGTGCATGCGTGCAAGCTAACACACACTGTTGTTATGGTGAACATGTTTTCAATCATAATAACAGTTCACTGTGTGAGAAGTCATGTTTATTTATAACTGCATTGTAAATTGGCATTTCAGACACTTTATCCAACCATAGTTCAGAGTAAATACTAGCTAGCATTAATAGATGTTGTGTGGCTAACCAAAGCTAGAACATGCAATGTGATATTTTGTGAACTTTAAATAAATGTTTACTCAACAAATTTGATTAAGTTTCGGGTCAGATTAGTCCAAAGATATCCTTTATGATCTCTTTCACTCTTAATGGGTAATTTGTAAAAAAGCTAACGAGAGGAAGCTAATGTTAGCTTTGTCGGAGAGCTCAGTTAACTGTGCAACAGTCAGACCTGGTAGTTACTTTGTTTACATTTGTATCAAAAAAGTATATCTTAAAATAAGTAATCACTTTTTCAATTAAATGATGCATGAAGCTATTATGATTGAACATTAAGGTTGCAAAGAGTCTAAGCTTGAATATTAGAGCTGGTGCAACCAGCTTTACACAATAATGTCATCATCCTGAGACAGAGACATTTCCGCCTACTATAACCCCTGAAGAAATACCTCCAAAGAGCCCAAATGAAGCTTTGTTATAGTAGTAACTCATTGTGTGTAATACATTAAAGCGACCAACTAGATAAAGCCGGAATATTCATTATTAGTCAAACTTTATAAAATGATTCTAATAGGTCCATGAGCTGTGGTTGTACCTTTCTGTAAATAATGATGTGTACGCCTTACACTCCCTTATGTAAACACACAACGTATGAAGGTATTTAGCAGACTCTAATCCACCCTCATACACAAACACTTTTGTACCCTGAGGTGCATGCAGGTTTAAAATACAAAGATAGTATCTGCCTTTGGCTACAATAGAGAAGCTACCCTGTTCAAACAGGACACATCCTGGATAAACCTCCTAAATTGGAAAACGAGGTGCATGCAGGTTTAAAATACAAAGATAGTATCTGCCTTTGGCTACATTAGAGAAGCTACCCTGTTCAAACAGGACACATCCTAGACTAGAGCACTTCTGAGTGCATTTTTTATTTGATTTAGGCCTACCTTAAAAATCAATTGTTCACATATTAGTTGCTTCAAAACATGCCGTTCCTGGCAAACATCGGAACAAACCTTTTTGAACAAATATGCACGAAAGCATCCTATTTGTTCATAACTGGAAAAACAAACACATCCATGTGTTGATTTATTTGGACTTATGTTACTTGGCCTGTGAACATTTCCATAACTCTATTGACACAGGAACAGTTTCTTGGAATTATTTATGGTGGAATAATCTCAACCATCCTTTTATTTACAAAAACATAGTCCTGATTCAAGGTCCAGTGACTTTTTATGGACCTTTCAACCTGTTATTCATGAATAAAGTTCCATGCATTTGAAGGATTGGTTAATAATAATAAATGACAAGAACCCAGACTGAAGTTTAATGATCTGAGAATTGCTGCAGCCTTGCCTACGCAGTAACAGGAGTACCGTGGGTACTCTGCTGTGTGCGACTGAGAACTTGAAGGTGACAATACATTGTGGGTGGGCTGCCAATAGGGGTCCACACCAAATTTCTGCCCTCAAGCCCCCCAACAGGGTAATCTGGTCATGCATGTGATGGCAAGAGTACTATCTCAAAATGAATGAAAAAACAACATGGGGTTAGGATTATTTTTGTCAACATTCTATTCAATGGTTAAACATTGACAGTTTAAACTCATCGCTTGTTGATTGTTTTTATAATGTTAATTCTAAATGAGGCTGAAAATAGTACTTCCTTTGCGATGCAGTACCAAAAGCCCAGATATCTTTCTTCCTCTATAATTGATGGTACATTCATGTTTCGAATATTACATGTAGCACTTTGAAAGTTTGTGATTAGGGGAACATTATGAGTCACTTGAAGGGCCAGCGGTTTGCTGACAAACTGCACTGAGGGAGAAATTGAATCAAAGAACCTTTGACGCTGCGCTGCATGCTGATTGACACCTGTGTGCGCCACACTGGCCCGCTCGGATGTGCGTATCAATGCTTCAGCCTGTGTGTGCACAAGTGTGTCTGACACACACTCCTCAAACAGAGGGGGACCCTGTTCTAGCAGACACAGCCCAGGAAGCTTAGCTGAGCCTGACGAAGAAAGAAGCCTGTGTGTGTGTGTGTTTGTATTTTATGCCTCACAAGAGCACAGAAACACACAGACAGCCAAACACACACCTTCCTCAGCTGTGCTGCAGGTGAAAATCGGGGACGCTTCCACCAGAAGAATTATATTTATCCCCTTTGATACATTTATGGGTCAGCTGGAGCAGTGATTCACCAAAGCCTCTTTACTTCCTTAACACTTCAAACAGACACTCACTGGCATGGCTTGCCTCAGCTTCTTACCTATGGCACAACATGTCTATCTGGATTTGGACGTATAATGCATAATTAACACTTTGGCTGTCACATGAGACTGGGCCCATAAAGTCGTCAAGCCACTTTCAACAAAACAGTGAATAATGTTTGTTCGTGTTTACATCTGTATGTGTGTGTGTCTGTGTGTGCGTGTGTGTGTTATGCAATGCTTTGTTTCATGGCAGGTGGATGTGCGAGAGTCCCTGCTGGGATAAGGCCAGATGTCATCGGGAACTGCAGTTTAAATGGACTTTGCCCACTTCAGCAAAGACAAGCCTCCTCTTTCTGTTTTCACTGAGAGCAGCAGGACACACAAAGCAATCTCTATAATTAGTCTATACTGCAGTGAATGAGCATGGATAAGCTAAACTTGCCCAAATCACATTATGGACCAATAGAAAACTGAAATTATGTTAAACAATGCAAACATCTGATAAGTCCTGTACATTTTAAATCTTTTAAAGTCTCCTCTATGGGGAGATCCAGTAATATCCTGGACTAAAAAAAAACTAAAAAAGCATTCATCACATCACATAGGCTACTCACTTGATAGTGTCACTGGCAATGTGTAATATTGACAAGAGAGGCAATTTGCAGTAGATAGCCCTTTTTGCCCTTTAATGTTTAATTATCATTATATGGGATATTGTTAAACTGTATGCATTTGAGCATATTAAGAGAAAAATATAACGTCTGACACGTCTTTTTTTTCTTCCCATATGGTGTTTTCTTCATCTAAAATGCAAACAAAAGGCTATCACTCAGGCTTTAGATAAATGTGTCAGGATTATTTTAGTGTGTGCAATCTTTAAAATTCAAATGTTGGCTACATTTTAAAACCACATTGTCAATACGTTACACTGCCTCGCCTTTTACATTTTGTGTTTAATAAAGCAGGACATCCAACTTACCTTCCCAGAAAAGGTGAGGGAAAAGCAAGGTCAACAGCGGTAGTGTCCAGTGTGAGCTACATGTTATCCTCTCCTGGTTCCTGGTGATTTACCTGTTGCGGTAGAATATCTGCGGTGATCCGGCATCCAGGCTGGCAAATCTGGCTGCAGGAGAGGGAGGAACTGATCGAGCAGCCGGGGCGGGGTGGACCTGAAATGGGTGTCTCAAGATTCAACCCACACAGCGTTACGTTTCAGACTTCCGGATGTGTTTTCACAATAAAACCCCTTGTCGCTCCTCATATGGCAGTCTTCAGGTTTTGATAAACGCACGTAACAAACAATAAAAAACGAAAAGCAGAGGTGGGAAGTCACTAAGCACATTTACTGAAGTACTGTACTTAAGTACACTTTGAAATACTTGTAGTTTATGCTACTTTGTTCTAGTCCAGTAGAATTCAGAGGAAAATCATGTACTTTTCCTCCCATACATTTATTTTGAACCTTTAGTTACTATTTAGATTTAGATTAATTGTGTGAAATATAATCAGCACTTAAACAAGACTTGAGTTTCACCTGAAGTAAATTCACAAACTACCCTGCAGTGTACAAAGTGATTACAACTAGCTGCCCCTTTGCCAGTTTTGATTACACTTGAATGAATCAATAATTAAAATAGAAACATAAATAATATGATTCGGGAATGGACCAATTTGCATAATAAGTAATCTGAGTACTTCTTCCACCTCTGCATCCCTATTCAATAAGATATTTTCCCTCTGCATATTGGATGTTTATGGTATTGTATGTTCTTTATGTTAAAACCAATAGAATATTTTAAATACAGGAACATTTAAACAAAACAAAAAACCCTAAGAGATGAAACCGGTGAAATTAGGTTTTTACTTTCCTTTCATCTTTAACTTGAAAAAATACACCTGGGATTCAATTACATACTTTACCAAAGTATAACCATCTACATGTTTCTAAAA